GAGTCGTATACTGAACAAAGGAAATGCAAATTTTTATTTCTTGATGAGTGCTGCAAGCAATCAAAACCTCATCAATAATTCGTTTGCTCCTTCCCCGCTGCAGGGTACAGCTCACTTGATTGCCAAAGTTTACTTGTGCGAGAATGGTAATTCGTACCATTATTCAAAAAACAACTCAGAAAATGGTTTAAACCTCGATTCAGTACTTATGGTTACAAGCAAGGAATAAGAAGAAAAATTTAACATACTGATGAAGATGAAGTCTAGGAACAGCTGATTTAGTTTGAAAGTCAAATCGACAACTACATGGAGGGAAATTATTAAAACGCAAGACCAACACACACAGCAAAAAACCGGCTGACTCTAAACCTGTAAAGAGATGGAAGAAGACAGCAAAAAGACTTTGGCACGATTCACTGACGATGGCGGCTTTAAACCAAATCAACATGAACGTGAGCGTTTCCGCACGGTGGCCGCGTTTTTCGTCTTTGGAGCTTTAATGTACGCTTCATACTCCCTTGTTATTGCTGGAGCTCAAGATATTTTAGCCGGAACATTTATTCAAACTTCCATGGTCCTCGTGGCGGACATAGCACCGTATTTTGTTGTTTCATTAATCGCCCCTTACTTCATGCAAAGAATACCGTATTTTGTCCGCATCACGACAGTTTTCTTGTCTGGAATTAGTGGTTTACTGATCCTCGCATTCGCCCGACAGGTTCATTGGAAATTAATTGGTGTAGGTATGACGTCGTTCGGTTTTGGAGTCAGTGAAGTTACATTTCTAGCGCTCACATCGTTTTATCACGAAGTAACATTAAGTGCTTATTCAGCTGGAACTGGAGTTGGTTTTATGATAGCTCCCTTATATTACACAGGTAAGTAGTATAACAGTTTTTTTTCCTTGAGTCTAAGAACAGTTTGACCAGTCAATCAGTAAAATAATGAGGCGTAAATATCTTGTCGTCTTTAAACAAACCATCTCAGTCTAGAAGTTCTTGTTCTAATTTTATAACTAATTTCATATTTAGATGCATCTACGGATAGCTATTTGTCAAAAGACCGTAAGATTTGAAATGCATGGGAGATCATTTGCGAACAGGTGTTCTAGTTAACATTCAAATTCAGTGCATTCTCCTTTTCAATATGAATGCTTTTAAACTGAGCTCAAAACCGACGGCAAAGAAATTAATCATTTCTTTTTCACATAACTGACAGTCAAATAAATGACAGCCATTTTGAATGCAAAAAAGTCTAGACAAGATAGAGAAACCCTTCCCATTTCGTCACCAATCGAACATAGCACTAGATACTTTCTTAACGATGATTTTAAAAATCGTCAAGAAACGACTAATTTTCCCCTATTACAGGATATCTCAGCTTCACTGTTTTGGAAACAACAGGTCTTGAACTAGAGTGGAGCAGTAGATAATTATTACTTTTTAAGGAAGCTCCTGTTCCACTTGATTGCTCTTCTTGAACTTCCATTGATTGAAAATAATAGAAACCTTTATTATCACTTTTTTTCTTGGGAATCCGCCAAACCGCCAACTGCAGTACACTTTTGCAGTTTTACGCTGTCAGGATTTCGAATTTTAACAAAGCGTTTATTGTATATAAGACTGCCATGTTGTTTTTCGTCAAGTCTCTGTAGTTCACTTACCGGTTATAGGCGATGTACGTTATATCGCCTGAAAAACATGAAGAATTCATTCATTCATTCGAGTTCGAAAATCTAACTGGCACATCACAGGCGTGTGTAGAAACTTATCTATTGCCTTTAAAGCGCGTGTACAATTTTTAATGCCGCCGAAAAACCTTGCCGTAAATCACTTATAATTACCGTTGGAAGCTCTTCCTGCAGCGCAAACGTGAACTGCAAGCGCAAGACTGTGGTCACGTGGCATTCTCTGGTTGACCATGAAAAACATGAAGCTAAAGTCTCTCATAGCGTGCTCACAACAATGGAAATGTGCATTTATAGTAATTATCATTCATTCAAAATCTTTTCTCCGTTTCTGATTGCCTCAAGTCCTCAGCTAATTCCTAATAACCAGCTAGCGTTGACCAAATTTAGAAGACGTTTGCGATCTGCAGTGAAATGGCATCAGAAGTCCAGGATAATACTGGAAAAAGGGACAAAAACCGAGATGTCCTGGAGACGAGGCTGCGTTTGGCTGCGAACGCAGACGTATTTCCAGCCGCAACTTCTCTCCGGGTGGAGAGAGGTGACGACTGGAAATACGTCTGGGTTCGCACGCAAGGTTGCGTTAGCTCGAAGAAAAAAGGATTTGGCTTGCGTGTGATCTTAAGAATTATGGAGATCTCTGGTGCTTTATCTGCTTGATTCTTCAGATCATACTCATGGAGGTGGGGGACCCCAGGTAGGTGAGGTAACCCTCTTAGGGCCTGTTTACATGGAGTGGGGGACCCCGGTCTAGTGGGGTTGGTTTCTTTTGTTTTCACGCTCTGGGGGACACAAAACAAAAGAAACTTACCCCACTAGACCGGGGTCCCCCACTCCATGTAA